AATTTTGGATAATGTTAAAAGTTATGTACTAAATAGGCTATATAGAGGTTTTTTAGCATTCTATGGTGGTGAGCAACTTTTTTGGTGCCAAGGACCAAAAAATAAAAAATAAGGGCCTATATATCACACTTCATTATATTAGTACAATCTAAATTTTAAAAGTTATATCAAATTTAATTTATTTAAGTTTCATCACTGCTTGGTATAATTTAACGTGGTATATATTAACACAGTTTTAATAATAACACATAATAATAATAATAAAAAAAATTAAAAATATGAAAATACTAATAAATTAATATGATTTTTAAATTTAGATAAATTGTAATCGCAGGCTTAAAATCGCAACACAGGCCGCGGGTTGCTGACCCCAGCTAATAATATCTTATCTTAACTTATAACTGAGTTAGTCAGTTATATATCTTACCGATAAAATAAACAATATATATGAACTTAATATTTATCTTATTTCATCTTTATACCTATGTGACGTCGCGCTTCGATCTGTTGTTAGTCTGTTTCAGTTTTCACGTGTGACAGTTTCCAGTACAGTGTTAAGTGTTTTAAATTTAATTTTAAATAAAATGGAATTTTATAATTTATTTGAGAAATTATTGTCTGAAAAAAGAGAAGATAATTCATCTTATTTATCAAATGAAAAATATTTAAATGTAATTAATGAATTGAAAGGCAACCATAAATCTTGTCGTTTAAATAAAAAATCTTAAAATATAAAATAAAATTTAATATTGTATTATTAGTGTAAACTCATTTAAATTATACTCGTATTATGTATTTTATGGTAATTAGTAATTATTGTATCTTTTTTTTTGCATATGGTTAATTGTATCTAAAATATATTTAATATTGCTAATAATTTAAAATGATATCATATCATGCATGATGCAATTTTATAGTTGTTAAGACATTATCCATAAGTATCACGTGTATCTGAATGGGATTTGAATGTGACTTTTAAAACGCTTGTTAATTTTTCCCACCTTGAAACGGAACTAGAAAAAAAATTAAATACCTTTTGAACAGTTCCAAAAAATGAAATCATTATGGGCGACGTTTCTGCTGCATGGACTCCAATTCTATTCAAGCTATGTGCAGCACATGGAATAAATGTGGCTAACTCATTTTTTCTACATATTACTGCTTGCACACTATTATATTTTCCGGCCATATTTGCACCATTATCATATCCTTGTGCTCGACAATTTTTTAGTTCTATTCCATCTTCTTCTAATTTTTTTAATATTTCACTTGCCAATCCAGTACCTGTTTTCTCTCTTGATTGTATAAAATCGACAAAACTTTCTTCAATTGAAATCTCAGTATTATCAATTTTAACATATCTAATAATTTGCAACATTTGTTCTTTATGTGATATATCAGGTGTACAATCATAATACCATAATATTTTGCCTCTTTTATACTTGTTATAATTTTATTTCTTATTATTTGTCCTAATAAAACGATTATTTCATTTTGTATTGTAATGTTGTCTTTAGTATTATTCATTAACCAATAGTACCAGCAATAATTTGTTTATGCATTCCATTTTAAAGGAGAGTTCTGCAAACTTATAGTTATGATAACATCTGTTATATATATGTTGCAATATAAGTTAGGTTAGGTTATGTATAAAAAAAAAAACACTTATAAATAATTGTTGATATATTATATTATATTTTATTCATTCTGAAAATATATACAAAAACAAATAAGAATTAGAAAATAAAAAGAACTCAAAAATTAGCCCACAGTAACTTTTTATAGCTTACCAAATCCTGTAAAGCCGTCATCCTATAAACAATGTATTTAACAACATTTATAACTAACATGTATATTACATAATATTATATACATATAAAAAATTTTAATATTACTCACTTTCACCGTCATCGTGGCCAGAGTTTTGCCACCGACGAGGCTTCGGATCGTTGGCGCGAAGCCTGCGCCAGGCTCACCCCGTTCCCAATATCCGGGGGGGGGGGGCCGAGTCCCGCCTGGCTAATGGTGGCCGGTCTCGCCGCCGGGAAGGGAACAAGCCCCTGTGAACATTTTGTTTTCTGCCCGCATAATAATAAATAATATTTCACATGCATTGCTTACGATCATATATATAATATACACAAAATACACTTACAATGACGGGCCAAGTTTTTCTGCAATTGTAACACCCTGAAAAAGAAAAGCGGACAACATTACTATATTTATCATTGCATACAGTGTGTCCCGTTTTAAATGTACCACTAAATATCTCAGCCCGATAATCTTAGATTGAAATACGGTTTGCTGCAATAGCTAAGGGGTACTGAAGTACACATTTAAGGAGAAATTTCAAATTTTTAACTCTTGTAGTATGCGCATGCGCAATATAATTTTTTTTTTAAATTGCAACACCTATTTTTGTCACCGGATATGGATGGATTAGTTTTTTTTGAGTAATTTTGATCCATCGAAAAAATTTAATTATTTTAAAATGTCAAAAACCTGTAACTCATTCAATTTTAGGTTTACAACTATGGTCAATGGATCAAAATTACTTAGAATAAAATAATCTATCCATATCCTGTGACAAAAATAGGTGTTGCAATTTTAAAAAAAAATTTGTATTGCGCATGCGCATACTACAAGAGTTAAAAATTTGAAATTTCTCCTTAAATGTGTACTTCAATACCCCTTAGCTATTGCAGCAAACCGTATTTCAATCTAAGATTATGGGTTGAGTTATTTAGTGGTACATTTAAAACGGGACACGCTGTATACGTAATGACCAGGGTTGGGATTTTATAGCATTTGCATATTTCTTATGAGATGCTTAAAAAATAGCAGAGTAAGCTAAAAATGTGTTTCATGATACAGAGAACTCAAATTAAAAATTTTATTTTGCATATTTTACGATTTTTTAGTTTTTATTGCTTTTTTTTGGTTTTTTGAGACTTTTTGCATTTTTAATAGTGATGGGCGGTAACGAATAATTTATATTATCGAATAATATTCGATTATTCGTCCAAACTATCGAATAATTAATCGAATAATAATTTACATGACCGAATAACGTATTTACTTAAAAATTATTCGAATTATTCGTCATAAAATAATATTATTTGTTTCAAATATAATTATTCGAATAACAATTTACATGACCGAATAACGTATTTACATAAAAATTATTCGAATTATTCGTCATAAAATAATATTCGTTTCAAATATAATTATTCGTCAAGTTGTCAACATGTATGAATTATATGTAGGTACCTACGTCCTACCTACAAGTATATGATGTAAGTACTTCTTACCACTTGCTAGAATGAAATCATTTTTACCAATTTTCCTAAAACGTTCAGTAAATTTTTGGTAAAAGATATTAGTATACTATTTAGTTTTGTCAACATTTGAATTTTAAATGCTTATAAACAATTATCATGCTGAATGCCTATCTATTGTTGATATTTTAGGTATAATAAAAACTTATGTACCTATTACATTTTTATCTTTTAACCAGACAAATCATTTTTTATTGAAATTGTTGGAAAAATCTTATCAAAAACTAATCAAATACAATTGAAGTGAAGAACGGTCTAGACAAGGTTACCAAACAATCTGAACAATTTTCATTTTTTCCCCCCAATTATTTTAAAAAGTAATGAAGATTTTCAATTTCGACCTCCCAAAAGTACTAACTAGATCAAATTTTCTTCCAAAATTATCAATTGAAGTTATTTGTAGAGCATTTTTTCTACCAGAAAAGTTGAGGAGTTATGCAAACATTTTCAAATACCTGAAATATCTGAAATTAGATAATTAGACTCTACAAAACAAAAATAAAATTGCAATTAATTTTCAAGCCCCCTCCCCATCACCAATGAAAAACAATTGATACGTGATATGAAATAATGAAATACAATTGGAAGGTTTAGTAATTGGAAGTTGTAATCACTGTTAATTTTAGACTCTTCTTGAATCCAATCAATTAAAAATTTCTATAAAGAATGATTCAATATTTTGATGACTTTCCAAACCAGTTGGATATTGTGTAAACTGTAAAAAAAAAATTTTAAAAGCATCAGGTACTTTTTAAAACTGTTTTAATAATATATTATAACTAAGAACTTTTTAGTTATAATTTACTATAGTATAAAGTATTACATATTTTTATTTAAAAAAATAAGAGTGTCTAAATTATCAGGCAACAGCTTATTACGCCTAGCACTCATAATTTGACCTGTTTTTGAAAAAGTTCTTTCAGAAGGTACTGACGTTGCAGGAACCATAATATACTTTAATGCTATATCAGTTAAAGGATGAAGCAATAATTGGTGTTTTCTCCAATATTCGACTATGTTACAATCCAGAGTTTGATATGGCATATTCATGTATTGCCTCATCAAAGCAATAGCACTACTGTTATTTGTAGTATGGGACTGTACGCTATTAACTATCTATTAAAAACGTCCATAAATTCTCAGAGTCTTCACCTTGTTCACTAGGCATTTCTGGTTCTGAAATAAAATATTAATTATGTAGAGAATCTATTTCATAAAACATAATATTATATTATAATTTTTTTTTTCAAATTTGCTTCAAGCAGCATTCAAGCGCTTTGCAGCTTCCATCAGAGCTCAAACTAAATTCTCGCTCCATTTCTCAATCTTTTTAAGTCATCTCTTACTCGATCCATCCATGGTGGATGTGGCCTTTTCACGGGAGTTATTTTTTTTAATTGTTAATGAGAGCCTGTCTAATCAATCTACCCTTTGCACGCCATACATGGTCAGCCCATTAAAGTCTTTGTGACCTCAAAAACTCTTGTAGATTTGGTGTACTATACAATCTGTTTAGGTCTACATTATATTAAAATATACGATTTAATATATTTAGTATTTACCAGTTTCAGTAACATTGTGCATTAAACTGGCAATTTCTAAAACAATGCTTTTTTCAGCTTCAGTAGCATTACTATCAACTGCAAATGCTGCTTTTTTGCATCATGGGTCCAACAAGGTTGCTCGGGAAAAATATGGTACTAATGTCTGCTTTTTAACAGATTCAAATCTCTTGGATATGTTAGCCAATACATTTTTTTTAACAAATTGTCCAAGACGTGTTTTGGGATTTTTTCCATTTAATGAAGTTTGAAATCCTATAAATAATTGTAATTTAAATTATTATTCATTAAATAGTATAATACAATTATTTTGTTATGTAATAATATTAGTAAAAAATATATAAAAATAATTGTGAATATATTTCAACAATTACCTCGTATTAGTGGTATAACTTTAGATATTGTTGGATATTGCTCTGCTGATAGTTCTATCGTTATACTATTGAAAGGTTTTAATAGAGGTACCATGTCTTCAATATCATTCCATTCTTCAAAAGTGAGGTTAAGCGGAGCATCATTTAGTGAAATAATTACAACTGTAAGAGGCTCTTTTAATTTCACTAATCTTTCGATCATAAATAGGGTACTATTCCATCTTGTACGGACATCCTGTTTAAGTTTTAAAACTGGTTCATGACCGAGTTGTTTTTGTTTTTCTGATAATAATCTGTTACCGACCTCACTCCGTTTAAAAAACCCAACAATACTCCGACATTTTTTAAAAATGTTCCTAATTTTAGCCGCAAAATTTGTATTGTCTCCTGCTTCTTCATCATCTGTTAGATACAGAGCCTGTTGAACAACTAAATTCAATTTGTGGGCTGTGCATGGCATATGCTGAATGCCCATGTTTCTAATTGCTGACTTAATATTAGCACCCCCATCAGTCACTATCGCAATCACTTTTGAGTAGATATCCCAGATACTCAATTCATTGGTCATAATTTCAGCTAAATATGCACCAGTATGACTTTCTACCAATTTTTTAGTGCATAAAACAATGGTTTTAAGCTGAGTTTGGTCTTTTGGATAAAAATGAGCAGTCATAGTTATGAATGAATCAGTATTCATCGAAGTCCAGATATCTGTGGTAACAGATACGTAATTGGTTTCATTTAATAATGTCTGAACTTGATTTTTAACATTTGCATACATTTGAGGAATGATGGTTCTGCTTAGTGCTCTTCTACTTGGTATTTGGTACCTAAAAAAATTAGTGGAATATTTATTAATATAATTTAAATATGTTTTATAATCGTATTTTTAAGTTTTTAACTATAGTTTAATATGTATAATATTTAGTCAATAATGTCAGTGTCAAAATATTTATAAAAGTATTTGTTATTGTTTTATTGAGTCTTGTGTTTATTATATATTAGATTATTGTCAAGTAGCGTTGCGCGCATGCGCATAAACGTAAAATCGTAAACTTTGGAAGGCTATAACTTCTAAAATAATAGTTTCCGGGAAAAAAATTACACTATCGTTTTAAGCATAAAAAAACAAGTCTTTTGAAAAAAAAAAATTTGAAAATCGTGAGGGGGTTGGTAAAGTAGATTTTAGCCAAGTAGGTCACAGAGTAAAAAAAAAAAAAATAATTATAATAATTCAAGAAGAATAAAAAATATTGCAAAAAACTTTTATTGGATTCCTGGTCTAGAACCTGGGGGGTGTTGCAGGCCGCAACCATATTAAAGACCACTGCACCACACCTAACTGTATGAAGATATTACCAAATTACTTATTTAAGAGACTTGTGAAAAAGCGTTAAACTTCATAGGCCTGTAACTTGAAAACTAAGTCCGAGCCCCAAATTCTGACTTCACTATCGTTTTAAGCATACAAAACTACATAGGTTCAAAAAAAAAAAATTACAAAAAAAAGGGTGTCCGGTAAAGTATAAATATACCCTTTTTTTATTATTTAAAAGCTTAATTGTTCACCTCGTGTACTTATACATCATCACAGTCACCCAATTATTAAATTACATCTGATTTAAAAAGCGACATGCATTGTTTCCCGAACGTACTCCCTCAAAATCCAAACTTGGTGTCTCGAAGGTGTCGCGTTTTTTTATTTGCATTTCAATGTGTGATGTTATTTCTACATTCTTTCCTGAGGTCATCGGTCGGTAGTTGTTGAAATACATTCCCGTTACATACGGCGCACTTTTTCACCGAGATTTTTTTTGGATTCTCTTACGCTTTTGTTTTGTAAGTCTGGAGAATTTCTTAAACATTGTTTTCTGTGTATATTATATGTTCCAATGTTCCATTATTCGATGTGTACCATATAAGCACTTTTTCTAAATATAACACAAAACTCATGGCATTCCCGTGTTGCCGTATCATCGGGCACTGATGAGTGATAACAACAGTGATTAATAATAACGATATAACGACGCCGAGTGTCGTGTACTCGTGTGTGCGTAAAATATACATATTATTACGCTTATTATTCACTATTTATCCTACATATTTTTAAGGATAAAAATACTGATGTTATTTAACATATAATATAATTATTAATTACGTTTACAATATGATGCTATTACATATTATTTTCTTTAAAATGTCAAAATTAAGGCACATCACCATGGTTAGATTGTGTGTGATCTGTGGAAACGTCGATGGTGTTGATGGAGTTTCGTTACACAGGTTTCAATAAATTTATTAACAATTCATACTCGAATTACACTAAAACTACTCATAATGTAATGGTTAAATTAGGTTTCCAGCGAATGACCTCCGCAGACGTCAGTGGGCAGTGGTGATTTATCCCAAAGATGGGCCCGTGTGTAAAACTAAAAAAAGGCCCTCTTTATTTTTTTATTCTAAATAATATTATAGTTATAGATATTTAAATTCCACAAGGTACTTTCCGTTTTTATTAAAATTTCAATTACATAAAAAATAAGATGAAATTACGTCATACAAATAAAATAAAATAACATAATATATCTATTAATAATGATAAGAATATAATAATAATAATAACAATTCAATGGAAATTTCGTTTGCGTGTTTTTTTTTCTGCAAAATTATTAACTATTTCTTTTAAATTTAACTGACGAGCTCGATTGTTTTCAATAGATAGAATTCCAAGTCCACTTAATCTTTCTTCACACATTGTGCTCCGTAAATAATTTTTGATTAGTTTTAATTTTGAAAATGAACGTTCCGCTGTAGCAACTGTTACAGGAGTCAGGAAGTGTCAAAAATAACATGCACGCTGTACATATTTCAGAAAATGTTGTTGCTAATGTGGGGTTCTCTATACAAGTGATTCAGTAATTGCTTTTACCGATGTTCGTTTTGTTATTTCTTCTTTAAAACAAGCTTTGAACGATAAAATTTGACCAGCAAGAGCATTAGATAAATCAGAATCATAGTATTCCACCAATTTATCAGCGGAGATATAAATTTGTTCGTCTGTTAAATTAATCAACGAATTCGGTTGAATAACTTCAAATATTTTGAATACATTATTTAAACTGGTAAAACGTTCTTTTAGTTGCATTATTGTATTATCCAATGTTAAATAAAATATTTTTATTTTAAAATTTTCTTCTGCTGAAGTAAAGCAATAATTTTGGAGGATTTCGTCATAAAATCGTTTTACTCTTCGGCTTCTTTTTTCTTTAAATTTTTGTGATACACTCCATTTTTTTTGCTATTTCTACTGCTATTTCGAAAAAATCACTGTATTGTGACCTGTATTCTTGAAAATGTATCAACGCAGAATTAAGCAAAGAAACTGCTGTGCTCAATTCTTGTTTAGGAGACTGAAGAACTTTTGATACAACATTTACAGTTTCCAGAATTTTGCCAATGAAAATTACACTGAATATAAATTGAAAAGCTTCCATATGAACTTTTAAATAATTTGCTTAAAATATTTCGTCTTTATTTTTGCTTGTAAGAATTATTTGTGATAAACATTTTAAAATATCAAAGTAATAAAGAATCATACCTTGATGACCAACGAGTGGTACATAATCTTTTTAATGTAATTGAAATATCAGATGACTCTGAAGATAAAGGTAATTGCCAACGTTTAATACTATTTGAAAAATATGTATACATTTTTTCCACAAGTCCAAAGAAATTTTTTACTTCCGTTGATGAATTCATTGCATCGCTTAGAACTAAGTACAAGTTATGAGAAGCACAGTGGATATATGTAGCCAATTTTTGTTTAGATTTTAACCTAGCCTGGACATCTGAATATACAGTGATATAATATAATATAATATACCACTCATGTTGGCAGCCCCATCATACCCTTGATCACGAAGTTTTGACAAATTTAAATTAATTTTTGAAGTACAATTAATAATAGATTCTTCTGATTCAACTGATTGATCTAAAATTTCTACAAAGCCAATAAATGATTCATTAATTTACAGTGTCTTAGGATTACCATCAGAGTCTAAAATAATAGAAACGTATAGAATAACTTGACTTAGTTGATCAATCTTATTAATATCTTGAGTAGTATCCATTATGACAGAAAAAAATGGTGATTGGTTAATACTTAAAATAATTTGTTCTAATATCGTATTTGCAAGTAAAGTAATTATCTCATTTTGAGTAGTATTACTTAAATAATTGGTTGTGCCCTTACCAGCTGATATACTCAATAGTTTTTCCAATATAGGATCATATTTTGAAATAAGAGTAACTATTGATAAAAAATTGCCTTTATTTTTACTAAATTCTGTCTCTCGGTGACCTCTAAAAGACAAGTTGGATGTAGATAATGTTAATGTGACATTGATAACCCGATCTAATACTTGTCTCCAAAATTTATATTCATTTTGAATAGATAATTCCATTTCTTCGGAAATTGTTTTATTTAGGCGCCATTGTTCAAATATAATACAATATTTAATATGAACATTTGAATTATCATGGCGTTAAATATTTTGAGTAAGATGTCTCCAATCATTATTTCCCGCAACCCAGGATGAACTAATTCTATCTTGAGTATAAAACAACCAACAGCATTGACAATATATTTTATTTAAAGTTAATGAGTAACATAGCCATGTACGTTTTATAGTAATATTAGCCTGATTTGTAAAATAATACAATTTTTCTGAAAATGATCTAGAATTATCACTGTCAGTTGGAAATGGGCCCTTAGGCTGACAAGGCCCTTGAAAAATGATAAAACGTTTTTCTTGGTGGCTGAGTAGTTCTTTAAAATGAATTTTGTCGGTAGGAAAATGTTCACAGATTAAACCATTAAAAATGTTAGGTTCAACATTTTTAGTATTATTAGTATCAATACTAGATATTGCAGTTGGCTCTAAGGCAGAATTACTGGCAGTATTAATCGTATTTAATAAAATACCTGAGTTATCAATATCTTGCTCTTTTTCTGTTTCTTCGTGGTTTTGTTTTAAATATATATCAATTTTCGGCATTCGCTTAACAGATTCTTCTTTTTTTTTTTAATTTTCCGTTTCGCAGCACCACTAGCAGATTTTGATGCCATTAAAATTAATAAAGTTAATATTTTATTGAGGATTTTGTAAATTATTTTGAATAGACTCTAAACGACGACACATGAGACTATTAGTATCACAAAATAATACAACCCCGTAATACTTTAACGAAGCGAATAGCGATAATACTATTATTTAATCGTGTAAATCTATGTCATAGACGTCTGTATATGCACATATGAAGATAAAGACTATAGTACGGACGATTAGTGCTTACGTCATACTTGTTATCATTCTTATCAATGGAACCGTTGGGTCCAAACAAATATTATAACGTATTAACGTACTATGTTAAATTAATTTAATAAGTTATAATATCGCTTAAAATTAATATTTTAATTATATTTACTTGGTTTAAGCTAATAATATATAATTTATATATATTATTAGAAATTTAAAAGGTCTGTGTGCGCTATGAACTACTGCTTGCGAGCCTATTTTTGCTATTTTTCCAAATTTATTGGGGAGGGGCCGGGGTGTCGTGAGTGATTTTTTTAATATATATACCTATATCTACGCGATAAATAAAACCTGGTTTAAGCTAATAATATATAATTTATATATATTATTAGAAATTTAAAAGGTCTGTGTGCGCTATGAACTGAGTTTAATACTGCTTGCGAGCCTATTTTTGCTTGCTTGTCAACTATAGATTGCTTACCTTTTAATTTTGCATTCTAAAATTGCATATAAAATTATACAGTTAATAGTATTTTTGTATTATATACGGGTATTATTTAAATGTGGTTTTACGCTGGGTATTTGGTTGTTCACATTACACGGAAAATAGTTCCTGTAGCTTTTATCGCTTTCCTAAAGAACTAAAATCAAGAAGACATTGGATTAAATTAATAAGGTAGCTTTTTCACATAGGTCCCTACATGGTACATCATCAATAAATTAATTTTGTTTGGTAATAGATGTATTAATAATAATGATACTGAAACAAATTTAATTTTTTATTTAGTTGACAATTTTCAGTGAACACTGGAAAATTATAACTAAAATGTTATATAAAAATTCTTGAACTAATTTTGTCAATGAAAGTATGCTCTTCCAATTCACACCATATGTTGTATCCAACATTGCTTAATATAAACATATTTTTATTATATAGGTACATATTTCATAACTAATACTACATGCTATAATAACTAACCCTACCTAACGTTTGGATTCTGCTTATAGCCTTAGCTATGTTTAATATGTTCTATAGCCTTTAGGTATTAAATTAAATAAGATAGCTGGGGTTGCTTGAAATGTGTGATTTATTTTTATTTTACTACATAACTTTTTGGTTCAAAGATAAATAAATCATATTTATTATATTAGAAGAACAGATGAACCTAAATCAGGTGCTCGTGTGTGTAGCTGTCACTTTCAAGATGGAATTAAAATAAATGGTCCTACAATACTTCCTCATCGTTTAAATCAATTTAGCACTCATCATCTTACACCAGAAAAGAAAAAGACCCGCAAGAACTTTTCAAAACTTATGATGAATGAAGAGAAAGAAGATGAAATATTTAATAACAGCGAATTTGAAATTAATACAGCACTTGATCTTGATGAATCAACAAAGTCGAACCCCCAAGGGTATTATTCATTTTTTGAATATTATGATTTAATATTATAATAAATTAAATTTTTTTTTTAGAGTATCTGAAGTCAATATGTCATCGACCTCATTGACCATACTCGAAACTGAAAATTATTTTCTAAAAAAGCAAAATGAAGAATTGAAATTAAAACTAAATACATTGAGCTTGTCATTCACATTTGAAAATTTAGCTCAAAAGGAAGATTTATTAACTTCTTATACTGGCATACCATCAAATGAAGTATTTATTGCTCTTTACAATTTAGTGAAAAATGCAGAGATTAAATATCATTTAAATTGGAATGTTGAAAGTATCAGTAAAATTGATCAAATACTAATGACGTTAGTTAAATTGAGAAACAATTTACCACATTTTGATTTAGCAGTAAAATTCAACTGCAGTAAAGCAACTGTAAGTAATGTTGTCATTACATGGATTAATGTTTTACATGCCATACATTTTACTAAATGCATGAGTAGTATTCCAACTAGAGAAAAAAAACAAAAAATGTTTTCCTGGTGCATTCAAGTCATTTACCAACTGCCGTATAATAATAGATTGCACTGAAGTATTTACTGTTGTATCACGTCAGTCGATGAATATTCAGAGAGACACATATAGTTCATATAAGCACAGAAATACCTGGAAAGCACTAATAGGAATTGCTCCGAATGGTGTTGTTACATTTGTCAGTTCATTGTTTCGTGGATCTACATCAGACAAGATGGTAACACTAAATAGTGGTCTTTTAGAAAAAATGTTCGCTGGAGATCTTATTATTGCAGATAAGGGTTTTTTATTCAGGGACATTTTACCTCATGGAGTATCTTTAAATATTCCACCATTTTTAGATACTCCTCAGTTTACACCAAATCAAGTTGTTCAAACAGAAGTTATAGCTAAGGCACGGATCCACATTGAAAGAGCAATACAAAGAATAAAATGCTATTCCATAATAAATTTTATTCCTTTCACTATGTTGAAGTAAGCTGAAAGTATTTTTCAATTAGTTGCTGCATTAACTAATTTACAGCCTCCTTTAATTAAAGAAGTTCAAGGAAATATGTAAACTATAAATAATAATCATGTTATAGTATACTGTAAAATATAAATCATAACATTTTTAATTTTTATAGTTCACAAAATTATTAAATTACTTTACAAAACTAAAATTATATAGAAAATTGCTACCTGCATTCTTAATAAAAGTTTATAAAATAATAAAACAACGGTTATCCTTCAGTAAGGTAGGGTATATACTTCTGAATAAAAAACTGCTCTAGAATTTCTAAATTGATTGCCCATTTGGTGTCTTTTTCAACTACAACTATAACTACTTTTCCAGGGGTCCATATAACTAGGTAACAAAATTCACGATTTGTTAAATAAAGCTGGCCTTGGATTTGATCCCAGTATGGATGTTTTTTGTTTACAATCAAATTCTCATTAATTTTGTACACTATGTAAGTATGATCTACTTCAATTTCACCAATAATATTTTTGTTTCTGTACTTCCATGGACACTTTACTTCAACGGTATAATTAGAGCCTACTATAGTCTGTTCCATATAAGAGCGCACCGGGCGGCGAACGAAAACTGGTCGATTTTCGCGCATACCAGAGCGCGCTTCAACAGTGCGTCGCGGCGGTGGCACGGTGCACCGTTTATACAGAGTGTTGTATAATGTCACACCATTTTAACGGTATTACGCGGTAACACGTCGTTTGGTTTTTTTGTGCGCATTTGCTGTTTTTTTTAAATTTTTTTTTTCATTTCGTTTGTTTTTCACGTGATACTATAGACACCATGGCTACTGTATCACCTACTACAAAAAATCCTATGGGTAAGGTAAGTTAAAAAGATACCTATTACGTATATTAATAATATTAATAATAATAATAATAATAATATGTATTTAATATATTAATATTATTATATAAATACGTACATTATCAGTAATTTATATATAATAGTATAATATATTTTGCATTACATAATTTTAGATAATTTTATTCAATTTCTTTTTAGTACATTTTGCATTTTAATATGTTATTTTGATTTTAATTCTTTATAAGTCCCGGCTCGCATATGCAAAATATTTTAGGAAATATTGCATTTAAATTACATGTGTGCTGAAGTGCCCCACCTACTACTTATATTTTTTGTATATATTATTTAATATTTTTTTTTCGCATTTTATTCCAGCCTGTTTCATCATCTCAACGTATCATGATTGTGAATGCATATAAGATGGAGTTGAGAAAAAATCCGGACCTAACTGTTAGAGACGCTCGCATATATATTTCGAAACTACTTGGAGTTGGGCAACGGACAGTTTCAAATGTCTTCAGTGAATATAATTCTAAAAAAACGGTGACCTCTCCATGCAAAAATAGAACAAAGGCATCATTTAAAGAAAAATTTGATGATATGCAAATGAATGTAGTACGTTTGCATGTACATTCATTTTGGTTGAATAAAACAATTTCAACATTGGACAAAATACTGACAGCTGTAAATAACGACGAAACTTTGCCAGAAATTTCAAGGACGAATTTGTATCGTATGTTGTAATTTATGGATTTTGTGTACACAACACGCAGTCGCAACAGCGCCCTTTTAGAAAAGGACGAAATTATTTTGTGGCGTAGACGGTATTTGGCAGATATTCGTAAATATCGTGAAGAACACATCTATTATCTTGACGAGACGTGGGTCAACGCAGTCGATTGTACTAGTAAAACCTGGGTAGACAAGACAATTAAATCGCCTCGTGACGCATTTCTACGAGGACTCACGACGGGGTCTCAGAATCCATCTGGCAAAGGCAAGAGACTCATTGTTCTCCACATTGGGTCAGAAGAGGGGTTCGTGCCAGGTGGTCTCCTGTGTTTTGAGTCCAAAAAAACGACCGACTACCACGAAGAAATGAACGGTGATGTATTTTATAACTAGATGGAAAACGTATTACCACTACTTAAAGATAACTGTGTCATTGTAATGGATAACGCACCGTACCACTCCATGAAAAAAGAATAAATTCCAAATACTTCAACCAAAAAAGCAGACATCTTAAAATGGTTACAGGATAAAGGCGAGGTTATTGATCGACCTATGGTGATCACCTAATTACTCGACATAGTTAAAAGAATAAAACCACAACACGACAAATATTTGATTGACGAACTGGCCCAAACACATAACAAGAAAGTTTTGAGACTCCCGCCATATCATTGCGAGTTGAACCTGATCGAATTGTCGTGGGCCAACGTAAAAGATCATGTAAAAAAAAACAACACCAGCTATAAACTTAACGACGTCAAAACATTGTTATTAGAAGGTATAGAGCGAGTGGATGCAAATAATATGTGGAGAAATTTCGTAAAACACACGATGGAAGAGGAAGAAAAATTTTACAATATAGATTTTATTATAGACGACGTGTTGTCTGCAGAAACACAAAGTTTGACAATTACGGTTGGTGATACATCTTCGGAGTCAGAAATCTCTAGTGATGTTGAGTAATTTTAATTTAATTTTTAATTTTTTAATTTTTAATTTTTTTAATTTTTTGTAAATAACTTTGACAATGTTTAAAAAACTGACTATGTGTAATTTTGATAATTTGTAAGAATACAAAACAAAATGTGTCCTATAATTAAATGTTCTTCTTTATAATCTACCCTATCCTATTTATACAAAAAATTTAAATATTATATTAATATTACTACCTATTATATATTATCAAGATACACATGAAAATAAATAATAAAACGTACACAAATAAAAAAAAAAATTGCAGTAGTATCGGTAGTAAAAACATTTTATTTTGCAAAATTATCTAACTTATTTCTATTATTTATTATTATACATTTATACTTATTTTACAATATTGTCTATATAATATATTATTTATATCATGTGTTATAAAACTTATTTTTTAAATAATAATTGTAAACGCCTAGGTTTTTTTCTTCAATTGAATTTTCAATGAACTTGGTATCCTCTTCTAGTCTCTTTCTATGTACACTCATCATACACAATCCGGACAATCGGTCATCACCCATAGTGGCTCTGTTCCATGTCTTGACTCGTCTTAAAGTACTGAATGAACGTTCAATGCTGCAAGTTGTTGTTGGAAGAGTTGCTCCGATCTTGATTGCGTCGGCTACAGCTGGATAAAAATCTTTTGACATTACGATCAAATCTAAGTATTCAATAGAATCTAATGGTTTTGTGCCATTATTCCACATTTCATACCATTTTGTGGCTTCAGTTACAAAATTCAATGACAAAATATTTCCATAGAGTTTTACAATATCATTTGATGTGCAAATAAACTGTTCTTTACTCATGTTTTTCATAGCATATGGATGAAGATCCATTAGAGAAAATGATTGATTGTGAATTTTAGAAAAGCGATCTTTTAATGATGATATAACAGAATCTAGGTAAGGAACGAAAATGGATGTTCTGAAAAAATCTTCAGGGTTTGTAGATGGATGATTTGATCTTTGACTTTGTCGTGCAGCTTCTCGAGGTGGACGTATTTCAACATCAAGTTCTTCAGCGATTTCTTTAGATTTTGCAAATAATACGGTAAATTCAGTCGACGAATCATTTCTATACAACTGCAAAATATCAACTAGTTTGGTTATGTGATTGTTCACCGTTTTCAAATTTATATTAACTTGTTGAAGTAGATTGCATACTGGTTCAAATTTAACGGAATAAACAGCTATTACTTGCAATGTAACAATAATAGCTGGTGTAGTAGCAGCAGTAAAGAGTTGATAAGATTTAATTTTGGTTTTTGAATTTGCTGTACTTTTTGATTGTTCTTCCAAAGCTTTGACAATAACAATAAAATTGTCAGCAAAAATTCTAATACTCTTATATTTTGCTGACCAACGAGTTTCACAAAGTAAAGGAATATTGGGAATAATTTGTCTACGCAATGTGCTCTCTCTAAAAAAATTTATTATTTCTTTTATGATCCCGGTTGTATTTCTTACTTCACTTACGTTATTTAAATCGTTAAATACAAGATTCAATACGTGACTAGCACAATGGAAGAATAGTGCCATAGGATAAGCTTCATTAATTAATTTTTGAACACCACTTATATGCCCAGCCATTGTAGCGCATCCTTCATATCCTTGGCCCACAATTCGATTCAAATCTAAATTACAACTTTCTAAAAATTCAATGATGGTTTTGGCAACGGATTTAGAATCTAGTTTTGTAAGAGCTGAGAAACCAAGAAATTCTTCACAAATTTTGTGTTTTTGAAACTTAATGTCGTAAAACAAATACCAAACACCTATTGACAATTGTTCGGTGCCACTTATATCGGCAGTCTCGTCAGCTCTAAGACCGAAAAAACAGATGAAAGTTTCACTTCTTCAATAATGTTTTGTCGAAGTACATTAGCACAAGTTTTAATTAGTTCATTTTGAACTTCATGTGAGATATACAACGCATTTTCAGCTCCAGACTTTAAATGCTTATTCAAAACTTCATCCCCCGATTCGACACGGAATTTTAATAAATCTGTAAAAACTGAACCTTTANATCATTTTTACCTCTTAGTGGAAGATCGTGCTTTGCACAAAATAAGATTGACGATATGATAGAACGAAGTTTCCCCCTGTTTTCTTCTATTTCTCTATTAAATGCCGAATCTATTTGCTCATGAACACTCAATTATTTTCTCTCTTTTGAGTTTAAAAAATGTTGTGACGCATTAATTGCGTCTTTATGCCAAATACTAATGTCATGAGCCTTTGAAACCTCGTTAAATTTTTGATATTTTATGCATGGTGAAACAATGAATGCTCCTTGAACACCTCTATGTACTCGAGGTCGAAATAATACACAAACGCGACATAGTGGGCCTTTAAAAACAGCTGAGTAACTTAGCCACGAAAAAAGTGCAAACCATTCTGTACGAAATACTCTCGTAGAGCCGTTGGTCAAATCTTTTTTGAAGTCATATGTTTTTGAAGGAACCCAGGGGTCCTTCAATAATTTTAAACGTAATTCGTCATCAACATAGGAATTCAAATACAGTCCAATATCTAATTTATTAGCACCAACAATCAACTGATGAAGGAGTTCTGGCACTTCTTTTTGTTGGCTACTATTAGAACTATTAGTACTTAAATTACTTAAATTACCTATGTCATGATTGCCTTCATTTATACTTGATGGACTTGATTCTATTTTGCGTTTCTATTGAAAAAAATTTCGTATGTCACTCATTTTTATACATCAATAATTTTACATAAGAACTAAAATAATATATTATATAAGGCGTATTTGGTATTAAGCACGTTGAGATATACACGTCACGGACACACGACTAATGATGATTCAGATTTTATCGTATAGTGTCGATGGACGTATAGGACATGTCAGTTGTCACGTGTATAATATACACTTTATATTCAATATATAAATCGGTCATTTTTATCGCATGCGATAAGCTTACGAGTTTTCGTTTAGGATAAAGGCTACTATTGTCATTATTGGGTTTTCTAATCATAATCACTAGCCCGCGTTACATTGTAGTCGTTAAAAAAAGAACTAAAATAACTTTGTATCATCATACAATTTGAAAAACAATTTTTAAGTATTTAACCATTATTATTATTATTATTATTATTATTATTACGTGTATAAGCATTATTTAGAAATCAACGTGTACCTACCTACTTGCACGATGCACCCCCTTGATAAAATTCCTGGCGGCGCCTATGCTTTGCATACTTCAAATTTTGCAAAGTCCGGGACATGATTATGTTTAAATTTTTTTATAATTTCGTCATTACAAACATATAAACATCCTTTACATTTTATCTTCTGATAGTTTTTGCACTTCCATATTAATTTATTTAAACCTTTTTTTTTAAGTATATAAATGTACCCTTTTAATATTAATTTATCTTTACCCCGTTCACTTTTAATATACGATATATTATTCATGATTATAAAATGAAACACTCGTAAACGTCGATAAAGTACTGGACGATGCCGATACAATAATTCAATAATCAGTAACGTGTGTAATCGTATGGTTAATCGTATCTGGTTATTTTGAAATTTAGAATTTTGGATAAGGAAATCAATTTGTATCAGTAAGATAAACTTAATGGCTCATCATACCAAAAATGCCATGGCGTAATTTCATATATATATACATCGACTGATAAATTGGTTTATTACATTTTACATTATCAAAAAAACAACTGCGATAAATTGATTTGGGCCCATTTCGCCGAAACCCATTTCGCCGAATCCCGTCTCGCCGAAAACCCATCTCGCCGAAACCTATCTCGCCGAAACCCATCTCGCCGAAACCCATCTCGCCGAAGCATAGTAAAATAGAATTTTGTTTCGTTATAATATTATTTTAAAATATATAGTCAAATAAAATGGTGAAATAATAAAAATAAATGAAATAATAATTACGTTATAGTAAAAATATATAAAAACATTAATTGTCAAAAATGTATAGTAGAAATTAGTAAAAATAATTAATATTTAGTAAAAATATATAAAAACATTAATTGTCAAAAAATGTATAAAAAAATTTATATTTATATTTATAATTTTATTCAAGATGGAAGTGGTAAATAATCGCATCTAGATATTCCATAATAGATATTTGTCCATTTCCAAATCTGAATTAAACATACATTTGAGGTATTAATATAATATTATAATAATTATATAGTTAATTATTTAGTATTTACCGCTCTTTTCCCGTTTTTAATCGGTCTTCTAAAGTTTTGTACTTTTTCCTCATTTTCGGAGCTTGGTTACATTTTTTTTGAGTAATAATATCAAGTTCAAAATTTTGCTGCTGGTTTTTTAATTCTTTGATTAAAATAAAAATGTTTGGGTGTGGTCGACATATAGTCCTGTTAAGAGCTGCATGCCAACCCTCGAGGTGGTTAATTGTCCTCGTATGGTCTGTTTCGTAGTGGTTCCACATGCTACGACTAAATATACTAACGTCGTTATCCAAATAAGTTTCTACGAAGTAACTCATCAATCTATCCAAACCTAAATAATTTATTTATATAAATATAAAAATTGTAGTACACAAATTTTAAATACCTTTTAATATTTACCTTCATGTTGAGGCGCTTGTGCATGAATTTCTGTCCAACAATCATCGATTTGGTCTATTGGTATTAGAGCTAGGCTACACATACGGCGTACAGTTTTTTTTATATCGTCATTTTGATTATAATCACGAACAAGCCCTAAATTTTGAACTTTCCGCCAAATTGATTGACCCAAGTGGAATAAACATCCTTTTATAGATGTTGTATATCCAAAAGTTTCTCTAATTGAAACAATCATACCAATTTCAAAGTCTATTTGAAATGTATTGGGGTTAAATATTAAACCATTCCTTAGAGCAGCTTCTTTTATTATTTTAAACATTTTGGAATACGTTTCTGTGCTTTTGTTGGGTAGCAATGCATAAGCCTTTAAAGTCAATTTTCTATAAT